CTCTCTTGAGGGGTTCTGTGCCCTGGGGGGTGTGTGGGGCCCACGCTGAGGTGACCTGTCCCCTGAGGACAGTGTGGGGCCCACGCTGAGGGGCTCACTGCCCCCCGAGGGGACCGTGGGGGTCTCCCCTGAAGGGTTCTGCCCACAGGGGGATGTTGGTGACTCAGATAAGGGGCCTGATGTGTAGGGGAGACCCTCAAAGAGGGTTGTGAGGAGCAAGCTCTGAGGGAGGTCCCTGGGAATAGAGGGGGGAATAGAGAGGGTTCCCCGGGAACAGCTGCTCTAAATGGGGTTTTAAACAACGCCAGAGGGAACAGCAGAGCCAGGGAGCCCGGCTGGCCGGCACGTTAGGAACGCAGCACCTCTCTTCTGTTGCTGGGGAGCAAATAGGGCTGTTGGTTTTCTGCTGTTATTAACTGCTATGGTTCTGTGAAGTCTGTGGAAAAGTACTCTAAATAGAATGTATTTGTGCAGTGGAAGAGCGAAAAAAACATCAACTGAAATGGGCACTGAGGAGCGGATTGTCTTTTACAACCTTTAGACTCTGAAGCGTTTATAAAACGGGTAACAATAGTTGCGGGGCTTTTGCCCCACTGAGCGTGTTGGTGATGTACTTCTCTTGGAAAGGATTCTCTCTGGAATTTCACTTACTGTTTGGTTGCAGATACGAGGGCTTCAGCAGCATCTGCTCTCAACACAAATAATGTTGAATTTCCTTGGAACTTGCTTTCAGTAGATTTCTATGTGAGGCACAGGTCTGCCAGCTTCCTCCCAACATGTTTTGAGTGTATCGCAGAGCTTTTACCAGAATGAATAGAAAACCCCAGCGTTTGCAGGAGTGTCGTGCTGTGGGAGAACTGGGCAGCCAGGAGGACAATACGGCTTTGGATCTGTGTAACAGACTCTACATCAACAGCTGTAAACATTGAGAATTGGCCAGTCGAGGCGAGGAAAAAAATTCCTCGCTCCCACTTCACTAGCTCTTCCTCTCAGCCTGATTTCCCGAGGCGAGGAGTCTTCTGTGACCTTTTCATTGGTTTTGTCCCTCTGCAAAAACTCGTAAACACTGAGTTTTGCACATGGCGGGGGTCTGGCTTTCTGCCCTTCAGTATTTCTGTTTGCTGGGAGACCTCATTGATCACAGACACCCACAACTAGCTTGGGTTGGATTTCTCAGCTGCTAGGAAGATGTTAATCTTTCTCCTGTGAAGGAGGTAGTAGCCCAGCGGTGACAACTGTCCCGTCTTTAGCTGTGGTTAGGGATAAGAGTGAAAACGGGGGGAAGCAGAGATTACAGCACGTAAGTTGTGAGAGAGAAGGAGCCGTAACCTGGCTTTTTAGCTCTGCTGATCACAGAACTGGTTCTTTTTCTATATACAGGCTATACCCGTATCAGATCTAGAATTCTCCAGAAGATAGTGGCTTTCCTTTCATAGTGTTTTCTTTATCTTGACAAACCACAGAACATTTAATAGTTTGAATTATAAATCACACTCTGGAACCTCTGTAGTTATTTTTGGGATGATAGATATCTACAGAGAGGAGAAAATGAAGGGATAGTGAGAAAAATTCAGGGTTTTGTGTAAATGTGATAAAGCTGAAATGTGTTTAGGGTGCTGAGCTTCATGTTCTTTAAGAAAACGTTTCTTTTGCCTGAGCCATCAGTTGATGCGGTTGCAAGGTCCTGTTAGGGCAGGTCCAGGACTCGGTGTGACCTCAGAGCGGGGTAAGTGCCTTGTCCAGAATTACTCACTTTTTTGGAGTTGGTTTGCTTCTCTGCAGGCATGCGTCAGGCACCTTAGATTCCTCTGTTAGTTTCTAACTTGTCTCTTTTGGTTTTGTTTTGGTTTTTTTTCTTCTTGTTAGTCGCCTGTCTTGGCTGGAGAACTCTGGAGTTGGCTTCTCCTTGGATTATCCCACCATAAGTTTACACGCCGTCTCCAGGGACCTGAGTGCCTACCCCCGGGAGCACTTGTATGTCATGGTGAATGCCAAATTCGAAGGTATGCCCAGAGCGTTGCTCAGTGTTCCCATGCAGTCCTGAGCGGCATGATCTCTTCTTCAAAAAGAGTAAATGTTGGGTTTAAAAATGATATGCGTCATTCAAGTAATAGCTTGTATTTTTGTTTTGATTTCCCTGAAAGATAGTTATTTTAGAAGTGTGGCTTTGCCCTTGTTTAGAGTCACTTCTGTACTGTTCCGCCCTCAGCGTGTGACTACGTACAGCTTTATCCGCTGAAAATTGATTCTCTGCTCTCTAATCATCGTTTTAAGCAATTTATTTCCTCTGCAGTCTCCCTGTGATTCCAGCTTAGGCATCATTTTTGCTTTATTGAATTTATGTTAATGTTGCTGCCCTCTCTGGGCTTTATGAATTCCTGC